ACTGGTAACCTGTTATCTCTACAGAGATACCCAAGAAAAGGAAGGAAACTGAAGGAGGGGTCGCTATGAGTCCAAAACGACTTGACAACAGTGAGTTTGGGTTTTTGTTGTTGTTGTTTCTATCTATGCAGTTGATTTTTCAAACTCAAATCTGGATTAAATATTCTTTCCTATTAATTTTTTTTTTTCCTTAATTTCAGCGCATCATTCTACACCCTGAAATCAGAATCGCCGGTACAGCAATCGAAGACCTTCACAACGCGAAGAACAGCAAGAGGAACAATTGGAGGCAGCAAGTATAGACAACATGTTTGAGAAACTCTGCCATTAACAGAAACTGAGAAACGGAGGGAGTAGTAGTTGTATGAGGATGTGGGGGACAGGAATGTTGAGTATTTTTTCGTTTTTAATGGTAGAAATATTTATATGCTAATAGAATGATCCAGAAATGAAGGGAAAATATGGCCTCTGAAAACGTTTTCTAAATGGTAAAGTTCGCTATAGTTTATTCTACATCTTTTTTCTTCTTGCCTGGTTATTTCCACTTATGTCAAAGTTTGTATTTTAATGGCTCTAGGTCCTTCTGAATTCTTCCCTTTCATATTCTCTGCTCCCTAGATCATATCTAATTTTTTCTCCACATATTTTAAAATCTGTAATTATGTCCAGTAGTCCCCTGCACTTGCCATTATGAATTCTAACATTATTTGACCCCTTTTCATCCAAGGTCCTGTTTTCAACACACTAGTAATTCTTCACTATGTATCAAAATATTAAAAATCAATTTCAGGTTTAACAAATTTGTCTAAAAGAATATATACTATATGTTGTTATTGTTAGGTACCTTTAAGTTGGTTCCAACTCACACTACCTTATGTACAACATAATGAAACACTGCCTGGTCCTGCACCATCCTATCCTCATAATCCACTGCTACGTTTGAGTACATTGTTGCAGCCACTGTGTCAATCTATCTCATTGGGGGGTCTTCCTCTTTTTCCCTGACCCTTTACCAAGCATGATGTCCTTCTCCAGAGACTAGTCCTTCCTAATAATATGTTCAAAGTATATGAGATAAAATCTGGCCATCATGGCTTCTAAGGAGCATTCTGGCTCTACTTCTCCCAGGACGGATTTATTCAGTCTTCTGGCAGTCCACATATAAGATTTTTTTTTTTTTTTTTAATGTACTGGACCCCAACAGTCAGCAAGATGGCAAGAAAGTGTATCATTTGGTTAAAATGTTCTCTAAGGCTGTAACACTCAATCCTGAAAAATTCTATACAAAGCAAAAAGGGGCTGATGCCAAATTCTTCCCTCCAACACATCTGCATACGTAATTACATCATCTATACAAGGCCTTCTCCTCTCCCAACCCCCACTCAAGGCTCAAACAAAAAGTTAGTGTGAGCACACATAAAGCACATTTACAATGTCTGCACCACAGGAGACACTAGCTAGTCTGCTAGGCCAAATTATTAAACGTTTTGTTTCTAGTTTTAAGCATACTTCTGATTAAGTCTGGGTAAGTCAGTGATAAGACAATAACTGCGAGCTGCACATAAATATAACACATGTTCCTTCAAAATCCCATTTCTAAAATGAATCAGCGAATACATGAAATTTGTTAGTTCCAAACAAATGAATCTCCATTTACCAATGCATTCTATTTAATAACAAAGTACATATTTTCAAAGTATACACATTTATGAAATATTTATACTTTATAAAGCATACTATATAAAATATAACACTGTCCAAAACATTCTTTTTAAATAGCAAAGTGCCTAAGAAAAAAATTGCTAATTGTCATATTTGCTTTGAAAAGTATAGGCAATGACACCTTACTCAATAAATTCACTGCAAAACAAGACAAAAGGTTTCCAATTTCACAAATCAAGTGATAGATTTCAAATGAGCCATCATGTTACTTTCAAAAGAACTATAAAGTTCTTTTGTCATTATGCTCATTTCAATCCAACGCTTACCCTTAAAACGAGCTATCCTTAATTCCACATCACTGGCTACAGCTTTTTTTTGAGACAGGAATTCTGCCTCATAATTTTTTTTTTTTTTTGGTAATTTGAACTTCATGTGCTTAGTGTCAACACAGTCTTCACACACGTTAAGAATTCTCTTCAACTCAAGATTGTAAGAGCATAAAGTTCATAATTGGAATGAAATATTTTTTTCTTAAAATATAAAATTTTGACACTCACTAAATCATGAACATAATGTATATAAAACACCCAAAATTCCAATTCTTAAACCACTTCCTCAAACGTGAACAATTTAAAGAAATTTCTACCACTATTCTTGTTTTAAAAAATACATTCCTGTTGCACAATCAGAGAAATGTCTTGAATTTCATATAAAAAAATTATACAGAAGTGATTTACAATGTACAGGTAAGAACAGCCTTATAAAGACACTCAGTACAATGTAGCAGAGATTTTTATGTTTTGTTCTCTCCAGTGCCTTGAATGGCGCTTGGCACACAGTAGGTTTTCAATTAGTATTGCTGGAATGAATGAGCAATCCTTAGTAAAAGCCAGGCTCAAACCACCTGTAGGTTCCCACCACCAACACATCAGAAAACCTAGAACAATCTCATGTTGTACAGATACAAAACGTTCTCCCTAAAGAAAGGGAGTCCCTGGGTGGTACCAACAGTTAATGCAATCATGGCTGCTGACCAACCATCACATTGGCAGTTTGAGTCCACCCAGAGGCACCTCAGAAGAAAGATCTGGCAGTCTACTTCTGAAAAATCAGCCTTCGAAAACTCAATGGAGCACAGTTCTACTCTGACATGCAAGGAGTCCACATGAGTCAGAATCAACTTGACAGCAACTGATTTTAGAGAACCAAGGATAAGGAGAGCAACTCTAGGGAACTGACTCAGTTCACACACACTGACCTAATTTGTTTCTTTGTTGAAGCCACCAATTTAGATTCATTCAGGTTAGCAAGTCTCCTCATTTAAGAATGCAGAAACTACTCAAACCTCTCAACAACCTCACAAGGAAAATCCATCAGCATTCCATTTTACAGATGCAGAAACTGAGCCTAAGCAGGTGACTTACTTTTCCAGTATCACACAGTATACATACAGCACAGGTGACCTTAGAACCTTTAATCCTACAGTGCTACTTCCCCAGTTGAGAACAACTAACCTTCACACACATCAGTGCATTAGTTCCTAATATCCTTAAAAGATGGGGCTTTTGTTTGGGGTGACAGGCAAGCAAACAAGTTGTTGTGGCACAGAAAATACCTTGGAGGTAAGAATGTAAAGTGAGGGCCATGGATTTGGGGTGCCTAAGGGAAGCAAGCCACAGGACAAACCACACACAGATTTCAAAATACTGCACAGGGCCAGCTCTTGCTCCAGAACAGCTTGCCTCTCTTCCTCTTCCTACCCTTCCACATGACCCTCACGATTCTCCACACCAGAAAATAGGCTGCCATTGTTAGTGCCATAGTTTGGCAACATTATGTGTCCAAACCCCTGTGACTGGCACAGAGCAGGCACACAAATATTTACTGAATGAATTGTTTCTGTGGGTAAGCCATCACCCTAACTGCCACTTTTAACTAAATGGAGATGAGAAATACACCTTCAAAGCCAAAAACACACTGCCTTTGAGTCCATTCCAATTCATCGTGACTCTAAAGGACATGGTAGAACTGCACCATAGGGTTTCCAAAGCTCTAAATCTTTACAGAAGCAGACTGTTTCTTCTGCAGTCCGCTGGTGGGTTCAAACTGCTAACCTTTCAGTTAGCAGCCAAGCAATAAACCTACTGCCACTAGGACTCCTTAAGCCCTTGACTATTAGTGTAAAAATGAACTTTTAAAAGGCTGGCCTAAGTTGAGGATAAGCTACAGTGTAAACCTTATGTGCTGCTTCTTCCCCAGCCTGTCTGCCTTAAGAAAAAAATAGTTTACCACTTCAGCATACAGACATAGATCTCAGAAGAATCATTATGTTTTCTTATTCTACAGTATAAAAACAAACACCACTACCTTATTTAGGTTTTCTAGTACAGGTCTTTCATATCTTAATATGAATAAAAGATTTTTTAAAAATCCACTCTCAGTATTCTCAGGGTGTGAATCGGGGTGGAGAAGATAGCAGACATTGTCCAAGAAGTTTAGTGTGCCACAAAACAGAAAAACATATTTCACAATGTGGAAAAAGTTTCCTTAAAAACATGACCAGCAATTTATACAAGTATTTGTTTTATGCTGACTAACTAACTGAACAGAAACCATGCTTATAGGAAGAAATCCGGGTAAGGCAAATGGCTTCAAAGACAATTCTTGAAAAAGTACCTATCTCTCCCTTGCTCGGCACCCATGCCCTGCAGACTTGGCTACTAGCTCAAATTGGTATCAGATTCTTCACAATGTGAGATTTTCAGGAGTCACATTACAGTAAAACTACTGTGGCAGAACAAGAGCCAAAAGCAACAGGGAAGATGCCCATTTTCCTCTTCCACCCCTCCTCCCATTTGCCACTTATGAAAAACGGCACGTTTTTACGTTCGAAAAGGCCTCATCTTTGCAGATCTAATGCAGTTAAGTCCGTGATTACGGGAACAAACCTGCTGATTCCAAAACACAGGTTAAGATCTCATCCACCATGAATTAGTTTTGCGCTTTCCCACCACCTCCTTTGTCTGAGCTGTCCCTGAAACTCGCAGTTCAATGCCCTCCTGTAAACAAGCTACCTAAACGGGGGGAAAAAATGTTCTAAGTCTTTAAACAAGAAGGAACAAAACCCAGTAACGTTTCTGGAGCCTTATTCCCTACCGTAAGGAGGCCGAGCTCTCCCCCGAGGAAACCTCCACCCAAGGGCCGCCAGCCCGGCGACGCTAAGCGGGAGAGCCGGGGATCCAGGCGGCGAGACACCCACCCGGCGCTGCAGCCCCCGCGCGCCCAGCGACCGTATGCACGAGGACCCCTGCCCGCTGCCGCTCCTGGCGGGCACTCACCTCCGTGGATGGGCAGCGGCGCTAGCACCTGGCCACGGACCTCGGCCTTGGGCGAGTCGAGCCCGTAGCGCCCGCGGTCGATGCGGAACGTGAGCGGGGCGCCGCGGCCGGGCTCCTGCACCGTCACGTTGATGAGCGCCGTGTAGTATTCCTGGCTCGCGTTGTCGGCCCGAGCCGGCCACAGGCTGCATGTCAGCAGCGCGAGCGCAGCCAGCCGCGCCGGGCCCGCCCGC